CACTGAAACTGAGGCTACAGTTCACACAGACTCACTGAAACTGAGGCAACAGTTCACACACTCACTGAAACTGAGGCTACAGTTCACACACACTGAAAGTGAGGTTACAGTTCACACACACTGAAACTGAGGCTACAGTTCACACACACTGAAACTGAGGCTACAGTTCACACACACTGAAAGTGAGGTTACAGTTCACACAGACTCGCTAAAACTGGACAGTAAGAAACTGGAAACGCATTGCCTCGCCTAATGGGTCTGGATTCACTCTGAGATGCAGTGGAACTGGAGACGCACATCTTGGATGTTCAGCTGACTAATCTGCAGCAACAGCTTGATGTTCTCATGTCAGTCTGGAACAGAGCCTCTGAAGAACATTTCTAACAACCATCTATGACGAGAAGAATTAAGGCAGTTCTGAAGGTAAAAGGGGTCAAACCCAGTACTAATAAGCAGTACCTAATGACAGTGTTTCCATTAACTTGTGAAACAAAATTCCCTGAATTTCCTTGATTTTTCCTTGAGTAAATTCTGAAGTTCCAGGAAATATTTCAGTCAAACAAAACACTCAGAACATGGTGTGTTAGGTGGTGGGCAGAGTCCCATTCAGAGATGACAGGAAGTATTCTGTAGCTTACGGTACCGGCATACAATAATTATTCCTAACAATTTATTGTCTAACATCAGAAAATAAAAAGCCACCATAGCCAATCAGTAAGGAAGCATGTTTTTTGTACACTGTAGAAGCAGAATGTGGACTCAATACTAGATTACCTACATTAACACATGTTCAAGTCAAAAATGTTTTAATTAGCAAATCAGATTTCAAATTCTCTGAAGTTCCCTGTCTGGAATATGTTAGTCATTTTCCAGGTTTTCTCTGATTTCCAGAGTAGTTGTGAACCCTGAATAAAGTGGCCAGTGAGTGCGTTTAGAGAATTAAAAACAAAAACAAAATGACAGCCTGTGCAGAAAAATGGAACCTTCAGATCTGAAGAGAAAAAAGAATTAATTAAAAAATGAAAAGAGTCAAAATATCACATGATGAGTTTCCATCAAACCTCTATCAGCAGTTTGACTCAGTATGCCGTTTCCTATTATTGCATGATGGATGTGCTTACTTTCATTAATTTTGACATTAACTGCCCATTGGACAGAGGGAACTAAATTGAGTTGAACCACTAATAAGTGAAGGCTGGAGCGTTTGGAGTGCAGACGTGCACGGTCTGTGCTGACTTACAGTCATGCTGTCAAACATCTGAGTGCTGCTGTGGACCGAGGAAATCTCCTGGGCTGACAGAACAGGACTGACGTATTTACTGGTGAACTTCTCCACAGCTGAGCTCACTCTCTTCTCCTGGCTGGTCCACCACAGTCGCACCATGGCAGGCAGGTCCTGCACCGTGCTGTAGAAGACGTTGCACGCCAGGTGAGGGAGCTCCCACCTAACGCTCTCATTCTCTGCAACATCAGGAAAACAAGTGAAGCTCGCGTATGTTTCAGTGTAGAGAACGAGCACAAGTGTGTGTCTTTCTGCTTACCGTCAACGGTCAGAATCAAGGTTTCTGTAAAGAAGGTTTTGGTCTCCTTTGTCTCGGACTCGTGTCCTGGATAAACCGGGTTCTCTGGCATCATTTTGAAGAGATGGAGGAGCAGCTTGTTCAGAGAGCAGCTCCTCTTAAGATATTGAGCATAATGGGCACGCAGCTACATACAAACAGGAAGAGCGATCAGTACAGTCACAAGACCTGAAAACCAACATTTCTTTTCTCACAAAAGCCCCCACCTGGACCAACTAAAACTAAACAGCTGTCCAGTGACTATTTGATCTGGACTTACGTGGGATGGGGAGGATTTAAAAAACGTGAGAAGCAGCTTCCAGGCCAGCAGGTATCCCAGGATGCAGGAATACTCCACACTAAGGGGCTGGACCACTGCAAACTCCCCCACTTGGACCCCTCCAAGTATGTTCTCACACAGCTCCTCACAGGTCGACAGGATGGCCATGAGCGAAGCCGGAGGAGAACTGAGAATAAAACCATTAAAAAAGCATTACTTACCCACCACATGTGAAAATCCCCACCCCCATTTTCTGACTTACAGACATGGCTCATCTTTGTCATCATCACACCTGCTGTCTCCGTCACCATCACACTCCGGCAGCTGAGGCATGACCCTGCAGAGGCCCAAACCAGGTACGTTCATTTTGTTTCTATCTAATATCGATAACAGTAACAGTATCAAAGTTAGTCATCGAGTTCCTCAGGGTTCAGTGCTTGGACCAATACTCTTTATCTTATATATGCTTCCATTAGGCAAAGTTATTAAACAACAATATATAAAGAAATAAATTATAAACTGAACTGAATTAATATTCTTTAGCTATGTTTACATGGGCATAATCGGATTAAACGGCCATTTGGAATAAAAATGTTTCATGTAAACACCCTATTCGGATTATTCTTTGTGGATTCAGCTCGATTTGAATGCATTTGTAATCAGAATGAGACGGGTGGTTTATGTCAATTCATAATTCGAACGGTGCGCATGTAAACACTTAATCTATTCATTTTTTCCTGATTGTAGAGAACTGACCGGGCTGTGCATGTGCGACCTATGTTTACATCACGTGCTTCCGCCTGGCTAATGCTAATATGTCGGGGAAGCAAAACTGGTCGGTGAGCGACACAAAATTTCTACTAGAAACTTTGAAAGAGCTCAAAGTGATCCGTATTACCTGTAGCTCAGTCAGGGAGTGCAGTAACGTCTCCACCATCATTAAAACCTGTCACAGGTCCATTTTGGGAGCTCAGGTTTGTTTATGGTCATCCCGGAAATAGAACTTCTTCTTCTGTGTTTTTTTTAAAAGAGTTTATTGCTCTGCGCATGTCAGAACCTCTTTTCAGAATAAAAGTCCGCTGCATGTAAATGCTCGTCGTGAATGGATTGTGCCCATGTAAACGATACATTTGAATAATTTAATATGAAAACATTTCAATGCGGTCAAAGAATTTTGTTGATAAACACCACCCAATCCACTGATCTGCAGAGTATCAGGACAGGTAAATAAATGTGGCTTTACAGCAACAAGAAGCAGGATTATAACCTTTCTGACATAAGAGTCTTACTTTTCCAACATGTGGTGCACAATAATCTGCAGAGGCCTGGCCTTGAACAGCAGCAGAGGGCACAGAGTGTTGAGCAGTGTCTGCAGAGGCTCTGGCAGGTTCGTCTTCTGGTCTGCTATGAACCGTGGCTGCAGGGAGTTTTGGGTCAGTTGCTGCACCGGCACATGTGTCAGAGCCAAACCGACTGACTGCAGCACAGACAGGGGGAACGCGGGGTCATCCGGTTCAACAAAGGTCTCTGAGTTTAGACAACAAACAGAAGGACTGTGACGAAGAAAACCAGCACAGGAAATACAACATTTAAATCACATTCATTTTAATATTTGAAATGAATGTGTAAAAATATGATGTCTTAAATTTAATGCATGTTTGAGCTTAAACCTCAGATACAAATGAATGTAAAAAGGAGAATTACTTCTAAAGACAAATCAGTTTCAGTCAATTACAGATTTACTTTGTAAAGCGTAGTTTAGTGTAGTAATCTACTAAATAAACTCTCCACATACCAGTGATTTTAACAGGCAGAGGTAAGAGCAGGTTGTAGATCCCCTCAACGAAGAAGTCTTTCCATTCACTGGCCAGTTCTGGTGGTAACTTCTCCAGCACTTCAGGTGAAGATGATGTGAAGAACTGGTTCAGGTTTACAATCAGTGCAGAGTTCTGGCACACAAACAGCTGCACCCAGGGGTTCCACAAACTGCTCACGTTCTCACTGGCAGTCTGAGTTCAGACATAAAACCAAAACAAGAATAGATCAGCTTATTAGGAGCGAACCAGAGGATGGCATCAACTCTGCCCACTCTAAAGCCGACACCTCCTGCCTTAACGCTACAACAAAGCATCAGTATGTGAAACTGTCTCACCTCCAACCAGGCCAACATGGAGCACAGCAAGAAGTCCCACTGGAGTCCTCCAAGACCTGACGGACAGTGAGTCACCAGCCAAGACAAGAACCGCATCATCTCCACATTAAGGTTCAGCTGTTCACATGGAGCTTCAGCCAGGTTACTAAAATGCAGTAAATTGAATAATTTAGTTATCAGGAACATACAGAAACACCATCTGTTACAGTGCAGCAGAATGAAATGTGATACTTCACAAGACATAAGGTTTAAAAAAATCTCTAATACCTCTGGTATCAGGTTAAAACATTACATTATACCCTTGAAGTGGCAATAAGTAACAGTTCTCTGGGCTGTAACTGTTGTTGTTCTGAGTTAGCTCAGTTTCATTGTTCATGTATTTACTGAATACCAACTTTGTATTGCTATGCGTCGTATTTGTGGAATATTTTACTGTAACCTTGGCCAGGTCACACACAAAAAAAAAAAAAACTTAATTCAATTCAATTCAATTCAAAAATACTTTATTAATCCCAGAGGGAAATTATTTTGTTGTTGTAACTCGTTATCATTTCATTAAGATGTTATAGATGCTGATGGCTGTAGACAGGAAGGATCTCTTGTAAAGGTCCATCCCATAGTGGATCCTAAGAAACTGGCTGCAGATGCCGTCCGATCCGTCCACCCAGACTCGGCTGGCCTCTTGATTCCCCTGGACTGTAGGACCGCTTGAATGCCGGGCAGAACTCCTCCCAGAGCGATGGCCACTCCTCCCAGAAGTCTGCCGAGCTCCTCATAGCTGCAGACAGCCAACTGTAGGTGCTGAGGGACGATCCTGTTCTTCCGCTGTCGTGAGCCATGTTTCCTGCTAGTTCCAGGATCTCAGTGGTCAGGCACAGCTGGCAGGTAGATGAGAATGCGTCCATAGAACATCCTTTTCAACTCATTTGAGAGTTGGGGCCATAGTTGAGATATTATTTCAGCTTTTGAGATGTTATTTAGCTGCTGTTGTTGTAGAAAACTGCCTTGTTGCCATGGTTACGCATCATAACAAATGTCCAAAACTAAAAAAAGTTTCAGTAAAAATCCTTCCAGCTGCACAGCATTCGATACCAGAGGAAACAATCATCCAAAAAATGGGATTTACATCCAGAAAAAGAGGAATTAAAGTTTCCAAAAGCAAAATCTCAGAATGAAAGTAACAGAGCTGCTCCAACATGCAGCCACCTTGAGCGGCGCAATTCTAGAATTAGAATTGTAATCAGAATAGAATTAGAATTGTAATCTTGGTGAAAGACAAATAAAGTATATAAACTAATTTAACAAATGGCAGGAGTCAAAAGCTCAGGGGTCAACTAGATGTTCGGACACAATAATTTGTTCCTTTCCAAAATAATCATTTTTTATTTATTCTATCGCCTAAATTCATGATTTGCTTGGATTAAATAAATTCTACTCCTAGGAAGGGTTTCATGTAGCTGATGGTTATGTTTCAATAAGCCTTTGTTAGTGTTTTTACTTTACCAGCTGAAGAGGAACCAATCCTCCCTGTTGTTCCTCCACTCCATCATCATGGCCAGGACAGCATGCACAACCTCAGCCTCTACTTGTGTGTTGGCACTGAGACAACACAGCAGCACTGCCAGACACCCAGACACATCTGTAACTAATTAAATGAGACCATCACTACCAGTATCTTATAGTGTTCCATATATAGAGCTGTGGGACACATGTGAGTGTCTTACCATCGTGCTTTTGCCAGTTGATTAGTCCAGCTGTAGCCAAAGCGATGAGAGTTTCTCTGTCTTCTTTTGTCATTACTGGGCAGAGCACCTGGACTGTGTTCAGTTTGCTTTGAGACACTGGGAACAAACTGTTAAAAATATATATTTAGCATCATAAAACACCAACATCCACCACCCATCGTCTCTAAATGTTGAATCGTGTGAATTTAAATTGTGTTCTCTAATAAATTCCTGACCTGTCTGAAGTACCATAAAGTTTCCTCAGAGCAGCACCCTGAGTGACTGCCAAGCTGTTGGTGTTGATGTAGGTCTCCAGAGTCAGAGACCACAGACCTCCATCCATTACAGACCTTAAAAAGGAGAAGAAAAAAAACATAAACATAAATTAAAGCCTGACACTTCTCCGGAAATATTTATTGAAAAGACAGCCAATATAATATAATTATCAGTTTATCTTTCAGTTATTTTCAATTCATTTATTTATATAGCACCAAATCACAGCAAAGTTATCTCAGGACACTTCACAGAAACGTTCACCAAACATTCACCAAAAGCCAATTAGTAAAGTTCTCTATACAAGTTCTCATACTCGCTCTTCGTTCATGTACATTGATAAATACAAATGATATAAAAGGCTATTATAATTGAATTTTTACATGAGCTGCTCTTGTTGGTTTCCCTGAACCAGTAGTTCTCAAACCTTGGACACGTCCCCTAGGCCGGCCCAGAGCCATGCCCAGGGGTGCAATTTTTTTTTAATTTTCCCCAGGTTGAAACAGACCGAACTAATGTTGCAACGCCTCATTGCAGCACAAACCTTTTTTTAGGGACGTACAAAACAAGAAATCTATCCGTAATTATATTTGTTATTTTTCTCTTTAATAGAGTGTGAGTTTGGAAATGTGTTATCACTAAAATCAAGCATTTTAACAGAGGATCGGCCGTTCTACATCTATACTTAATTCATCTTGTTTTAAAAAAAGATACGATGAGACGTTCATCATATATTTAACGTGCTGAAGCTCCACATCAACCCAGCTGAGGTGAGTTCTTTACACCTCGATGCTCAATTCTCTTATAGTGTAATGTGTTTTTACTTTTATTTCGCTGTTATTCAAAAGGATTATATTTTTTAAATAATAGCACAGGTAGTCCTTTACACTAAGGGTGCACCAATTGCAGTTTTCTGGCCGATCACCGATTTCTAAAAAGTCTGACCTGCCGATTCCGATTTTGTCCGATACCGATTTTGTTTTATAATCAACACTGTCAGGTGTTATAAGTTCACAATGCACCTTCAATTTTCCAATCTTATTTTACTGAAAAACATACCCTTGAACAACATCCTAGAAATAATGCAAACTTGTTTTAACTGGCCATGAAGTAGTGCTCTGAAATATAAATGAAGTTCAGATAATTGTTGTGAAAACTAAAAAAAAAAATTAAAAATCAGTAAAATTGGTTTCTCGTACAAGTATCGGCCAATTTCCGATTTCCCAAAATTAAGGAAATTGTAAAGTAGGGGTGCACCGATAAATCGGCCGGCCGATTTATCAGTGCACCCCTACTTTACACGGTACTAAGTAAATAGCCAGACCTCTGACTTAAATTACTTTAATTCAATCAAAGGGATTATATTTTAAAGATCTCAGCTCATGTACTGAATACTTGAGTATTTCACACATGGCTTATATTTGGTTTGTGTCTCAAGGACAACAACAGTTTGAGAACCACTGGACTACAGTGAAACGATCTAGAGATAAATTGATCGTTTCTTTGGTCAGAGATCAATGAGTGAATCTCACCTCGAGTAGAGGGTCTCTAGGAGAGAGCTCATTGGAACTAGACTCTGGAGTCCATCCGATAGCTCCCATTCAGCCAGTAGGTTGTGATATGCAGGCACCACTGAGGGGCTGTTCTTCAGCTCCTTACACCACTGCAGAGCATACAGCAGTTCTGAAACTGGAAAACAAAAACATGCATCACAAACTGTTGAGAGGAGAATACGCTTTTAAAACTAAAATAAAAATGAAAACACGAGAATGTTCAGAGCGGGTCATCTTGGTTATGAACCTGTGTTTGGAAGGTTTGGTAGAGGGGAAGGACCCTGCTCCTCCCTTTGATCACATGACGCAGTCTGGGCCACCCTTCCTAACAAGGCACAGACACAAAGATGGGCAGGCAGTCTGTTCGACTCTCTAAACCTCCACGTGTCCTGAGAGGGGGTTTCATAAACCCCCCTGTGACGACTGGCCAGCAAAGGAATTTTGATCCACTGGGAAAAATAGATAAAAAAAAATCCCTGAATTGATTTATTTCTGTGCAAGTTTTTCCATGAAACATTCTTACAACCACTTGGTTGGTCTTGAATTAGTCCAGTGTTGGTGTGCGGACCTGAGGAGGCAGAGCCTGTCTGATTCTGGTCCAGTCTGGCTGACTGGGTGTCAGAAGGCTAAAGAGGCGGTTCAGGATGAGGGAGGCCTGGTTTCCTGCAGAGACGATTGTTTCCACTAAGCTTTGTACAGCCACAACTAAAACCTGCAAACTAAAAAAAATTATAATTGAAACACCAAGATTTATTTAGAGCTGCATCTACATAAATTTAAAGTAGTTACCTTTTAATATCCTGAAAACTTGTTAGTGCTTGATTCAGCACCCAAACAGCAGCACTGTGCAGGAAACCTCCTTCTGTCACCTCACATTCACCATGCTGCACCAGAGACTGGACTCCAGCAACACACACCTTCTTCAGCTTATCCAACAGCGACTCTTCCAAAGAAAAGAAAACGCACAAATGAGCTATTCATGTCACATTTGAATTATCTACGTCTGCAGTGCGTGAGCACCCACTGGATAGGTGAGTGTGTCTTTGATCCTGGGCAGTGAGCTGGAAAACCGTGAGCAGCAGCTCCTCGGCCGACAGCAGCAGAAGACAGTCTCGCACGGAGGAGAAGAAAGAAGAAGCCACGTCGCATATGAAGGCGATGAGGGGCTCCATGTTGCCTGCATCTGACAAACTCTTGGTCTCAGACAGAGTGGTGTGAAGCTTCTCTAAAATCTTCTCCATGTACACCTCCCCAATCCAAGACTCTGCACGCATCGAACAAATCAACATCGTTACAGCATCACATGCTGCTGCCGAGAGCCCCCACAAAAAGGAACTTTCAACCAAAATATTTTCTGCTGAATGTGTTTGTTTACCGTGGTTGTGGTTTTGAGAGAGGACAAGGCTGATGAGGGTCCAACTGTGGCTGCTTGTAGTGGACGTGGAAGCATGAGCGCTGCTCCCCACTTTGCAGAGCTCCTCTGTCAGCCCCAAGAGCTGCTCACCCAGAACTGAGCCTTTCAGCCAATCAGAGCATCTCGCATGAGCCTCAGCATCTTTACATGCCTAGTGGAATGGATAACAGATTAGTAAACAGCGTAAATGTACAGGTAAACAACAGATGTTGATTAAAAACTGAATGACTTTACCCTCTGGATAATTTGCAGGATAATTCCCCACTGCAAACCCATCTAGAAAGAAGAGCAGCAAGCAACATGTCAGCAAAGAGAACGCTTCTAATCTGTAGTTAGATGGGCAACAACAGAGGAATGAAGTTACGGTGGTGATGTGGTTGAGGATCTGCGTGGTCTCCTCCTGGTTGCAGCAGCAGAGTGAACTAAAAACCATCTCCACCAGGTGCTCAGTGTCGCTGCGCGCCACCTCAGAAAGCCACACCACCACTCGCTTCAGCAGGAACTGCACTGCAGGATTCTTCTCCCCCCTCCATTTATTGTCTTCTGGTGTTCCATCGTCAAATTCAACCAAGGCCTAAGAGAAGTCGTTTAAAGAAACTTTTATATTAGGAGAAAAATAAAATACTGCACTTTTTTTATAGCTTTCAAAGACATAAAAAAGCTACAACTTCTGCTGAATTTATATTGTGTAACTGTTCATGCACCATGTTCCACAGATGTTTGAAATGACACATCTTTTATAAATAATAAAAAAAAAGGTTTAAAAAGTCTAAAACAGCATATTTCTGACTTACACTGAAGATCCTAGGAGTGTGGAAGGACTGCAGGAGAAGTGAGAGGAAAACAAGATGTTTCTCAGAGTTTTTCTCATTCACATGCACGAGGCACAGTTGAGCCAGCTGGCACACGGCGTCTTCAAAATGTTCCGTCTGCAGGGACCCAATGGCTTTTTCATTCACAAGCTCCGACGCCGTCTGCGCAAGCTTCTCGGCACCATCTCCCTGAACAGCAGCTTTTTCATCCTCCTCTGCCTTAGACAAACACACCCTGACAGATTTCTTCTTCTGAAGGTGTTTTCTGCTTCCTCTCTCAGGATAACGCATCACCTGCTCACATATAGGAGAAATTAGCATTTCCACTAGAAACCTTTTAGGGCATGAATTGTTTTGACAGCCATATTAATCAGCTGTTTATCTCTGGTCTGAACTGGTCTATTTCAGTGAGGGAAAGCAAGAAAGATGCTGGAACAAACTCACCTGCAGCAAAATGGCTACACCCTCCAATGCCTGTGGATCTGCTTCCTCGTTGTCAACAAAACACACACACAAATGACAAATGTCCTCCCAGAAGTCAGACACAAGCCTTTGGAAGACCACCTTCTTGGACTCTTCATACCCATCACTGTATAAACCTGCTCTTCTCTCCCAGGAAATAAGCATTTCAGTGAGTAAAAGGAAAAGAGGCCCATTCTGAAGGGAAGGAGTTCTGATAGCCTTGTCCAATAAAGGCAGAAGCTGTAAAGATACAAAACAATATTTAACACAGAACTTTAGGAGATCTGAAATGAAAGGCAGATTATGCAGAACTCTTTGATCCCACCTGCTGTGAAACAAGCATGGTCCTGATTTTCGCCTGAGAAGGTTCGTCATCTACGTTTTGCAGAATGCAGAACCTCAAGCATTCGACAAAGGATGTCACTATCACCGCACTTTCTGATGGGCTCGTCTCAGCACGCTCACTGGACAAACTGACAAACAGAAATGAGACGCAAGAATGATCTCACTTAGAACGTCTACAAAGATGTAATGATTACTGAATGTATCCTGATGCATGCTCAATAATGCAGGTAGAAAAATCTAAAAAAGTTAAATCTGGTCCTCTGGACATTCAAAAAAACAAAACAAAGCAAATCAACAAAAAAATGTAGAAACGTTTCGTCTCTCATCCGAGAGACTTCCTCAGTCTGAGGAGCTGTATTCAGCTCAGTCTCTTAAATAGCACCGTCTCAGGGTGGATCAACCAGTTTTGCTGCTGACAACCAAAACCAGCTGATCACATGCTCAAGAAGGACCATCAGCATAACAATGGATCATTAGCACACTGATGGCTGTTTACTGTTCACAGAGGGCTGAGTGATACTAGCAATCACAGCATTGTAAGAGGGGGACAGTTGAACCTGGAGGCCTCCACCCCTGTTTAATGATGGACGATTTCTTTTCACAAAGATGGCCTCCTTTACTCCTCTCTCAAACCATCGTTCCTCTCTGTCCAGGATGTGAACAT